AGCCTGCACAGCAACACACAGCCTGCACTGCAACACTAGGATACAGCCTGCACAGCAACACACAGCCTGCACTGCAACACTAGGATACAGCCTGCACTGCAACACTAGGATACAGCCTGCACTGCAACACTAGGATACAGCCTGCACAGCAACACACAGCCTGCACTGCAACACTAGGATACAGCCTGCACTGCAACACTAGGATACAGCCTGCACTGCAACACTAGGATACAGCCTGCACAGCAACACACAGCCTGCACTGCAACACTAGGATACAGCCTGCACTGCAACACTAGGATACAGCCTGCACTGCAACACTAGGATACAGCCTGCACAGCAACACACAGCCTGCACTGCAACACTAGGATACAGCCTGCACAGCAACACACAGCCTGCACAGCAACACTAGGATACAGCCTGCACTGCAACACTAGGATACAGCCTGTACAGCAGCACTAGGATACAGCCTGCACAGCAACACTAGGATACAGCCTGCACAGTAACACTAGGATACAGCCTGCACTGCAACACTAGGATACAGCCTGCACTGCAACACTAGGATACAGCCTGCACAGCAACACACAACCTGCACTGCAACACTAGGATACAGCCTGCAAAGCAACACACAGCCTGCACAGCAACACACAGCCTGCACAGCAACACTAGGATACAGCCTGCAAAGCAACACACAGCCTGCACAGCAACACTAGGATACAGCCTGCACAGCAACACACAACCTGCACAGCAACACTAGGATACAGCCTGCAAAGCAACACACAGCCTGCACAGCAACACACAGCCTGCATAGCAACACTAGGATACAGCCTGCACAGCAACACAGCCTGCACAGCAACACTAGGATACAGCCTGCACAGCAACACACAGCCTGCACAGCAACACCCAACTGTTATAATTAAGCGAGAGGAGAAACACAGGTGTAACCCACATGGCCATTATTGACAACAGACTGGGACGTCACACCGGGTATAAGTGCCATGAATATAAACGTTACGTATCCTATAAACCAATGAGCTTTGGCTCTTAACATTATTAATAATATATATAATCGTACATATTAATTATGAACCTAATCATAAATCAATTGATTTATGCACACCCTGAAACTAGCCACTAGCACGCACACCCTGAAACTAGCCACTAGCACGCACACCCTGAAACTAGCCACTAGCACGCACACCCTGAAACTAGCCACTAGCACGCACACCCTGAAACTAGCCACTAGCACGCACACCCTGAAACTAGCCACTAGCATGCACACCCTGAAACTAGCCACTAGCACGCACACCCTGAAACTAGCCACTAGCATGCACACCCTGAAACTAGCCACTAGCACGCACACCCTGAAACTAGCCACTAGCACGCACACCCTGAAACTAGCCACTAGCACGCACACCCTGAAACTAGCCACTAGCACGCACACCCTGAAACTAGCCACTAGCACGCACACCCTGAAACTAGCCACTAGCACGCACACCCTGAAACTAGCCACTAGCACGCACACCCTGAAACTAGCCACTAGCACGCACACCCTGAAACTAGCCACTAGCACGCACACCCTGAAACTAGCCACTAGCACGCACACCCTGAAACTAGCCACTAGCACGCACACCCTGAAACTAGCCACTAGCACGCACACCCTGAAACTAGCCACTAGCACGCACACCCTGAAACTAGCCACTAGCACGCACACCCTGAAACTAGCCACTAGCACGCACACCCTGAAACTAGCCACTAGCACGCACACCCTGAAACTAGCCACTAGCATGCACACCCTGAAACTAGCCACTAGCACGCACACCCTGAAACTAGCCACTAGCACGCACACCCTGAAACTAGCCACTAGCACGCACACCCTGAAACTAGCCACTAGCACGCACACCCTGAAACTAGCCACTAGCACGCACACCCTGAAACTAGCCACTAGCACGCACACCCTGAAACTAGCCACTAGCACGCACACCCTGAAACTAGCCACTAGCATGCACACCCTGAAACTAGCCACTAGCACGCACACCCTGAAACTAGCCACTAGCACGCACACCCTGAAACTAGCCACTAGCACGCACAACCTGAAACTAGCCACTAGCACGCACACCCTGAAACTAGCCACTAGCACGCACACCCTGAAACTAGCCACTAGCACGCACACCCTGAAACTAGCCACTAGCACGCACACCCTGAAACTAGCCACTAGCACGCACACCCTGAAACTAGCCACTAGCACGCACACCCTGAAACTAGCCACTAGCACGCACACCCTGAAACTAGCCACTAGCACGCACACCCTGAAACTAGCCACTAGCACGCACACCCTGAGACTAGCCACTAGCACGCACACCCTGAAACTAGCCACTAGCACGCACACCCTGAAACTAGCCACTAGCACGCACACCCTGAAACTAGCCACTAGCACGCACACCCTGAAACTAGCCACTAGCACGCACACCCTGAAACTAGCCACTAGCACTGACACTCTGAAACTAGCCACTAGCATGCACACCCTGAAACTAGCCACTAGCACGCACACCCTGAAACTAGCCACTAGCACGCACACCCTGAAACTAGCCACTAGCACGCACACCCTGAAACTAGCCACTAGCACGCACACCCTGAAACTATCCACTAGCACGCACACCCTGAAACTAGCCACTAGCACGCACACCCTGAAACTAGCCACTAGCACGCACACCCTGAAACTAGCCACTAGCACGCACACCCTGAAACTAGCCACTAGCACGCACACCCTGAAACTAGCCACTAGCACGCACACTCTGAAACTAGCCACTAGCATGCACACCCTGAAACTAGCCACTAGCACGCACACCCTGAAACTAGCCACTAGCACGCACACCCTGAAACTATCCACTAGCACGCACACCCTGAAACTATCCACTAGCACGCACACCCTGAAACTATCCACTAGCACGCACACCCTGAAACTAGCCACTAGCATGCACACCCTGAAACTAGCCACTAGCACTCACACTCTGAAACTAGCCACTAGCATGCACACCCTGAAACTAGCCACTAGCACGCACACCCTGAAACTAGCCACTAGCACGCACACCCTGAAACTAGCCACTAGCACGCACACCCTGAAACTAGCCACTAGCACGCACACCCTGAAACTAGCCACTAGCACGCACACCCTGAAACTAGCCACTAGCACGCACACCCTGAAACTAGCCACTAGCACGCACACCCTGAAACTAGCCACTAGCACGCACACCCTGAAACTAGCCACTAGCACGCACACCCTGAAACTAGCCACTAGCACGCACACCCTGAAACTAGCCACTAGCACGCACACCCTGAAACTAGCCACTAGCACGCACACCCTGAAACTAGCCACTAGCACTCACACTCTGAAACTAGCCACTAGCATGCACACCCTGAAACTAGCCACTAGCACGCACACCCTGAAACTAGCCACTAGCACGCACACCCTGAAACTAGCCACTAGCACGCACACCCTGAAACTAGCCACTAGCACGCACACCCTGAAACTAGCCACTAGCACGCACACCCTGAAACTATCCACTAGCACGCACACCCTGAAACTAGCCACTAGCACGCACACCCTGAAACTAGCCACTAGCACGCACACCCTGAAACTAGCCACTAGCACGCACACCCTGAAACTAGCCACTAGCACGCACACCCTGAAACTAGCCACTAGCATGCACACCCTGAAACTAGCCACTAGCACGCACACCCTGAAACTATCCACTAGCACGCACACCCTGAAACTAGCCACTAGCACGCACACCCTGAAACTAGCCACTAGCACTCACACTCTGAAACTAGCCACTAGCATGCACACCCTGAAACTAGCCACTAGCACGCACACCCTGAAACTAGCCACTAGCACGCACACCCTGAAACTATCCACTAGCACGCACACCCTGAAACTATCCACTAGCACGCACACCCTGAAACTAGCCACTAGCATGCACACCCTGAAACTAGCCACTAGCACTCACACTCTGAAACTAGCCACTAGCATGCACACCCTGAAACTAGCCACTAGCACGCACACCCTGAAACTAGCCACTAGCACGCACACCCTGAAACTAGCCACTAGCACGCACACCCTGAAACTAGCCACTAGCACGCACACCCTGAAACTAGCCACTAGCACGCACACCCTGAAACTAGCCACTAGCACGCACACCCTGAAACTAGCCACTAGCACGCACACCCTGAAACTAGCCACTAGCACGCACACCCTGAAACTAGCCACTAGCACGCACACCCTGAAACTATCCACTAGCACGCACACCCTGAAACTAGCCACTAGCACGCACACCCTGAAACTAGCCACTAGCACGCACACCCTGAAACTAGCCACTAGCACGCACACCCTGAAACTATCCACTAGCACGCACACCCTGAAACTAGCCACTAGCACGCACACCCTGAAACTAGCCACTAGCACTCACACTCTGAAACTAGCCACTAGCACGCACACCCTGAAACTAGCCACTAGCACGCACACCCTGAAACTAGCCACTAGCACGCACACCCTGAAACCCTGTGCGTTGTAGCGGCTTTACAAGAATGTAAAATCATCTTTGCTATGATGATTTTCTATACTCTTAACCCCCAATGTACCTTCTTGTATATAAATAAAATAAATAAATAAATGAATAAATAAAATAAATAAATCCAGGGTGACATTAATGCTGCAACATACCTTAATCCTAACAGCCACACTGCTACACCAAGCACAAGGCCCATGCTTCTGCGCAGGCAAGGCCCATGCTTCTGCGCAGGCAAGACAAGGCACATTGTAGTATGGCAGGCTCACAATCTTACCCGATATCTCTCACTCTCTCTCCACTGTTATGAACATTGTATGGCTGCATGCTTTTTGTATCTAGCATAACACGTCAAGACGAACCAGACAAAACTGTTTACACTTCTAATGTCAACACACAAAAACAAAAGAACAGAGTGGTAAACAAGCGAGGACTTACAGGCAATTCTTGTATCTATTCCATGGGAGGATGATGACCTTCCTAAACCCGCAAGACCAGGCAAAACGAGACTCGTCCGGAGCGAAGGCACATTTCCAGGACTCTCCACCAAGAGCGTAGTTGACGCCGTCACGCCCAGTGATCAACTCACCGATCACACGCGCCTCACCTGCAACAACAATCACAAGGTTTAAACTCACCTCAAGCCACCTACACACATACAAAATGATTCACAAACACAATGTTGGAATTCTAGATAGTGCTATGACGGCTGAGTCAGCAGCGGTCGGGATTCGTAGTCCTAAGGTTACGGGTTCGCTCCCAGGTGTAACAAATTGGGCAGTTTCTCTGACCCTGATGCCCCAGTTCACCTAGCAGTAAATAGTACCTGGGAGTTAGACAGCTGCTACGGGCTGCTTCCTGGGGGGGGGGGTAACAAAAAGGAGGCATGATTGAGGACCGAGCCGTGGGGATGCTAAGTCCCGAAATCATCTCAAGACAGCTAGTACATACTATGCCTAAAGACACTAATACGGATTTTCACTTTCGGACAATGGCACAAGACTTAGCGAAACACACGAATGGAAACAAAGGTACATGACGATCACGTACACTGAAAAACATTGTCAATGCAGAATATAAGTGTATATTAAGTACATAATTATTCTTCTCATATGGCATTTAAAGCAAAGTCCACACACACAAACACCCCCCCTCCCCACCCCACCCCCCACCCCCACACACACATACACCCTCCCCCCCACACACACCCCTCCCCGCCCCTTCACACACCCCTCCCCCCCCCACACAAATAACAATAAAACCCATGTTGCAAAGGCTAATAATAAACATTCATCAACATAATATCTGCTCCAAACTCGTCACATCTTGTGTTTACTCCTAAATGTTCACTGGACTGCCTGTAATGCGGCCCCAAGGAGTCTCCCCCCCCTCCCCCTCCTCATCCACCCTCCCCCTCCCCCCACAGGAAGAGAATCTAAGCCCCCGTTAGAAATTAAGGAAACCAGAATTTAGATTTTTATAGTTTGCTTAGGTTTTAATGTGGAGCACGGAGACATCTCCCGTCACGCAGGGTGCAGTCTCACCTCCACAGATCTCCAGTAGCATCTATTGATACTGGTAATGGCTCAAAAGGGCCACCACTTACGGGCTATTCATGCCCGTGCCACCTTTTGGCTGGCTTAATCTTCATCAATCAATCTAATGTGGAGGACAGAACTTGGAGAATGTGGAGGACAGAACTTGGAGAATGTGGAGGACAGAACTTGGAGGATGTGGAGGACAGAACTTGGAGAATGAGGAGGGCAGAACTTGGAGAATGAGGAGGGCAGAACTTGGAGAATGAGGAGGGCAGAACTTGGAGAATGAGGAGGACAGAACTTGGAGGATGTGGAGGACAGAACTTGGAGGATGTGGAGGACAGAACTTGGAGGATGTGGAGGACAGAACTTGGAGGATGTGGAGGACAGAACTTGGAGGATGTGGAGGACAGAACTTGGAGGATGTGGAGGACAGAACTTGGAGGATGTGGAGGACAGAACTTGGAGGATGTGGAGGACAGAACTTGGAGGATGTGGAGGACAGAACTTGGAGAATGAGGAGGGCAGAACTTGGAGAATGAGGAGGGCAGAACTTGGAGAATGAGGAGGGCAGAACTTGGAGAATGAGGAGGGCAGAACTTGGAGAATGAGGAGGGCAGAACTTGGAGAATGAGGAGGGCAGAACTTGGAGAATGAGGAGGGCAGAACTTGGAGAATGAGGAGGGCAGAACTTGGAGAATGAGGAGGGCAGAACTTGGAGAATGAGGAGGGCAGAACTTGGAGAATGAGGAGGGCAGAACTTGGAGAATGAGGAGGGCAGAACTTGGAGAATGAGGAGGGCAGAACTTGGAGAATGAGGAGGGCAGAACTTGGAGAATGAGGAGGGCAGAACTTGGAGAATGAGGAGGGCAGAACTTGGAGAATGTGGAGGGCAGAACTTGGAGAATGTGGAGGGCAGAACTTGGAGAATGTGGAGGGCAGAACTTGGAGAATGTGGAGGGCAGAACTTGGAGAATGTGGAGGACAGAACTTGGAGAATGTGGAGGACAGAACTTGGAGAATGTGGAGGACAGAACTTGGAGAATGTGGAGGACAGAACTTGGAGAATGTGGAGGACAGAACTTGGAGAATGAGGAGGACAGAACTTGGAGAATGAGGAGGACAGAACTTGGAGAATGTGGAGGGAGCAGCTCAACTCATCAGCGGACTTATAGACAAAGACGACGACCCCAACGATGGTAGTACTATATGCCCAAGACCCTACCTGGTAGTACGTGCCCAAGACCCTACCTGGTAGTACGTGCCCAAGACCCTACCTGGTAGTACGTGCCCAAGACCCTACCTGGTAGTACGTGCCCAAGACCCTACCTGGTAGTACGTGCCCAAGACCCTACCTGGTAGTACGTGCCCAAGACCCTACCTGGTAGTACGTGCCCAAGACCCTACCTGGTAGTACGTGCCCAAGACCCTACCTGGTAGTACGTGCCCAAGACCCTACCTGGTAGTACGTGCCCAAGACCCTACCTGGTAGTACGTGCCCAAGACCCTACCTGGTAGTACGTGCCCAAGACCCTACCTGGTAGTACGTGCCCAAGACCCTACCTGGTAGTACATGCCCAAGACCCCCAAGACCCTACCTGGTAGTACGTGCCCAAGACCCTACCTGGTAGTACGTGCCCAAGACCCTACCTGGTAGTACGTGCCCAAGACCCTACCTGGTAGTACGTGCCCAAGACCCTACCTGGTAGTACGTGCCCAAGACCCTACCTGGTAGTACGTGCCCAAGACCCTACCTGGTAGTACGTGCCCAAGACCCTACCTGGTAGTACCCAAGACCCTACCTGGTGCCCAAGACCCTACCTGGTAGTACGTGCCCAAGACCCTACCTGGTAGTACGTGCCCAAGACCCTACCTGGTAGTACGTGCCCAAGACCCTACCTGGTAGTACGTGCCCAAGACCCTACCTGGTAGTACGTGCCCAAGACCCTACCTGGTAGTACGTGCCCAAGACCCTACCTGGTAGTACGTGCCCAAGACCCTACCTGGTAGTACGTGCCCAAGACCCTACCTGGTAGTACGTGCCCAAGACCCTACCTGGTAGTACGTGCCCAAGACCCTACCTGGTAGTACGTGCCCAAGACCCTACCTGGTAGTACATGCCCAAGACCCTACCTGGTAGTACATGCCCAAGACCCTACCTGGTAGTACGTGCCCAAGACCCTACCTGGTAGTGCGTGCCCAAGACCCTACCTGGTAGTACATGCCCAAGACCCTACCTGGTAGTACGTGCCCAAGACCCTACCTGGTAGTGCGTGCCCAAGACCCTACCTGGTAGTACATGCCCAAGACCCTACCTGGTAGTACATGCCCAAGACCCTACCTGGTAGTACGTGCCCAAGACCCTACCTGGTAGTGCGTGCCCAAGACCCTACCTGGTAGTACATGCCCAAGACCCTACCTGGTAGTACATGCCCAAGACCCTACCTGGTAGTACGTGCCCAAGACCCTACCTGGTAGTACTGAAGCTGGGACTACAGGAGCTGGGACTACAGAAGCTGGGACTACAGAAGATGGGACTACAGAAGCTGGGACTACAGGAGCTGGGACTAGAGAAGCTGGGACTACAGAAGCTCGTACTACAGAAGCTGGGACTACAGGAGCTGGGACTACAGAAGCTGGTACTACAGAAGCTGGGACTACAGAAGCTGGGACTACAGAAGCTGGGACTACAGAAGCTGGGACTACAGAAGCTGGGACTACAGAAGCTCGTACTACAGAAGCTGGGACTACAGGAGCTGGGACTACAGGAGCTGGGACTACAGAAGCTGGGACTACAGAAGCTCGTACTACAGAAGCTGGGACTACAGAAGCTGGGACTACAGGACCTGGGACTACAGAAGCTGGGACTACAGAAGCTGGGACTACAGAAGCTGGGACTACAGAAGCTGGGACTACAGAAGCTCGTACTACAGAAGCTGGGACTACAGAAGCTGGGACTACAGAAGCTGGGACTACAGAAGCTCGTACTACAGAAGCTGGGACTACAGGAGCTGGGACTACAGAAGCTCGTACTACAGAAGCTGGGACTACAGAAGCTGGGACTACAGAAGCTCGTACTACAGAAGCTGGGACTACAGGAGCTGGGACTACAGAAGCTCGTACTACAGAAGCTGGGACTACAGAAGCTGGGACTACAGAAGCTGGGACTACAGAAGCTGGGACTACAGAAGCTGGGACTACAGAAGCTGGGACTACAGGACCTGGGACTACAGAAGCTCAATTTTTTAACATGCAAAACCCCGGAGTCAAAGATGGAAATTATGGGTAAACTTTATTGAATTTTACGAGGTCACCAAAATAATGCACCATAGGTAACCTGCATCTTCCTACACTACCAGAAACCTTCGATACAGTCGCCCCAGAGGAGAACAACACAGGCTGGACCAGCAGGGACAACACCAAACATATTGGACTGGGTATAAGAGGACCTGACTGGCAGGTCCCAAGTACCAGTGTTGGGGTGGTGATGGTACTCGACCAGTGTTGGGGTGGTGATGGTACAGTACCAGTGTTGGGGTGGTGATGGTACAGTACCAGTGTTGGGGTGGTGATGGTACAGTACCAGTGTTGGGGTGGTGATGGTACTCGACCAGTGTTGGGGTGGTGATGGTACTCGACCAGTGTTGGGGTGGTGATGGTACTCGACCAGGGTTGGGGTGGTGATGGTACAGTACCAGTGTTGGGGTGGTGATGGTACAGTACCAGTGTTGGGGTGGTGATGGTACAGTACCAGTGTTGGGGTGGTGATGGTACAGTACCAGTGTTGGGGTGGTGATGGTACTCGACCAGTGTTGGGGTGGTGATGGTACTCGACCAGTGTTGGGGTGGTGATGGTACTCGACCAGGGTTGGGGTGGTGATGGTACTCGACCAGTGTTGGGGTGGTGATGGTACAGTACCAGTGTTGGGGTGGTGATGGTACAGTACCAGTGTTGGGGTGGTGATGGTACAGTACCAGTGTTGGGGTGGTGATGGTACAGTACCAGTGTTGGGGTGGTGATGGTACAGTACCAGTGTTGGGGTGGTGATGGTACAGTACCAGTGTTGGGGTGGTGATGGTACAGTACCAGTGTTGGGGTGGTGATGGTACAGTACCAGTGTTGGGGTGGTGATGGTACAGTACCAGTGTTGGGGTGGTGATGGTACAGTACCAGTGTTGGGGTGGTGATGGTACAGTACCAGTGTTGGGGTGGTGATGGTACTCGACCAGTGTTGGGGTGGTGATGGTACTCGACCAGTGTTGGGGTGGTGATGGTACAGTACCAGTGTTGGGGTGGTGATGGTACAGTACCAGTGTTGGGGTGGTGATGGTACTCGACCAGTGTTGGGGTGGTGATGGTAGTCGACCAGTGTTGGGGTGGTGATGGTAGTCGACCAGTGTTGGGGTGGTGATGGTAGTCGACCAGTGTTGGGGTGGTGATGGTAGTCGACCAGTGTTGGGGTGGTGATGGTAGTCGACCAGTGTTGGGGTGGTGATGGTAGTCGACCAGTGTTGGGGTGGTGATGGTAGTCGACCAGTGTTGGGGTGGTGATGGTACTCGACCAGTGTTGGGGTGGTGATGGTACTCGACCAGTGTTGGGGTGGTGATGGTACTCGACCAGTGTTGGGGTGGTGATGGTACACGACCAGTGTTGGGGTGGTGATGGTAGTCGACCAGTGTTGGGGTGGTGATGGTAGTCGACCAGTGTTGGGGTGGTGATGGTAGTCGACCAGTGTTGGGGTGGTGATGGTAGTCGACCAGTGTTGGGGTGGTGATGGTAGTCGACCAGTGTTGGGGTGGTGATGGTACAGTACCAGTGTTGGGGTGGTGATGGTACAGTACCAGTGTTGGGGTGGTGATGGCACTCGACCAGTGTTGGGGTGGTGATGGTAGTCGACCAGTTTTGGGGTGGTGATGGTCCTCGACCAGTGTTGGGGTGGTGATGGTAGTCGACCAGTGTTGGGGTGGTGATGGTAGTCGACCAGTGTTCGGGTGGTGATGGTAGTCGACCAGTGTTGGGGTGGTGATGGTAGTCGACCAGTGTTGGGGTGGTGATGGTAGTCGACCAGTGTTGGGGTGGTGATGGTACTCGACCAGTGTTGGGGTGGTGATGGTACTCGACCAGTGTTGGGGTGGTGATGGTAGTCGACCAGTGTTGGGGTGGTGATGGTAGTCGACCAGTGTTGGGGTGGTGATGGTAGTCGACCAGTGTTGGGGTGGTGATGGTAGTCGACCAGTGTTGGGGTGGTGATGGTACTCGACCAGTGTTGGGGTGGTGATGGTACTCGACCAGTGTTGGGGTGGTGATGGTACTCGACCAGTGTTGGGGTGGTGATGGTACTCGACCAGTGTTGGGGTGGTGATGGTAGTCGACCAGTGTTGGGGTGGTGATGGTAGTCGACCAGTGTTGGGGTGGTGATGGTAGTCGACCAGTGTTGGGGTGGTGATGGTACTCGACCAGTGTTGGGGTGGTGATGGTAGTCGACCAGTGACCAGTGGGGTGGTGATGCTAGTCGACCAGTGTTGGGGTGGTGATGGTAGTCGACCAGTGTTGGGGTGGTGATGGTACTCGACCAGTGTTGGGTAGTGGTGATGGTACTCGACCAGTGTTGGGGTGGTGATGGTACTCGACCAGTGTTGGGGTGGTGATGGTACTACGACCAGTGTTGGGGTGGTGATGGTACTCGACCAGTGTTGGGGTGGTGATGGTACTCGACCAGTGTTGGGGTGGTGATGGTACTCCAGTGTTGGGGTGGTGATGGTACCCAGTGTTGGGGTGGTGATGGTACAGTACCAGTGTTGGGGTGGTGATGGTACTCGACCAGTGTTGGGGTGGTGATGGTACAGTACCAGTGTTGGGGTGGTGATGGTACTCGACCAGTGTTGGGGTGGTGATGGTACAGTACCAGTGTTGGGGTGGTGATGGTACTCGACCAGTGTTGGGGTGGTGATGGTACTCGACCAGTGTTGGGGTGGTGATGGTACTCGACCAGTGTTGGGGTGGTGATGGTACAGACCAGTGTTGGGGTGATGGTGACCAGTGGGGTGGTGACTCGACCAGTGTTGGGGTGGTGATGGTACTCGACCAGTGTTGGGGTGGTGATGGTACTCTACCAGTGTTGGGGTGGTGATGGTACTCGACCAGTGTTGGGGTGGTGATGGTACTCGACCAGTGTTGGGGTGGTGATGGTATCGACCAGTGTTGGGGTGGTGATGGTAGTCGACCAGTGTTGGGGTGGTGATGGTAGACCAGTGTTGGGGTGGTGATGGTACTCGACCAGTGTTGGGGTGGTGATGGTACTCGACCAGTGTTGGGGTGGTGATGGTACTCGACCAGTGTTGGGGTGGTGATGGTACTCGACCAGTGTTGGGGTGGTGATGGTACTCGACCAGTGTTGGGGTGGTGATGGTACTCGACCAGTGTTGGGGTGGATGGTATCGACCAGTATGGTACTCGACCAGTGTTGGGGTGGTGATGGTACTCGACCAGTGTGGGGTGGTGATGGTGACCAGTGGGGGTGGTGATGTGTTGGGTGGTGATGGTACTCGACCAGTGTTGGGGTGGTGATGGTACTCGACCAGTGTTGGGGTGGTGATGGTATGTGTTGGGGTGGTGATGGTACTCGACCAGTGTTGGGGTGGTGATGGTACTCGACCAGTGTTGGGGTGGTGATGGTACTCGACCAGTGTTGGGGTGGTGATGGTACTCGACCAGTGTTGGGGTGGTGATGGTACTCGACCAGTGTTGGGGGTGATGGTGACCAGTGTTGGGGTGGTGATGGTACGACCAGTGTTGGGGTGGTGATGGTACTCGACCAGTGTTGGGGTGGTGATGGTACTCGACCAGTGTTGGGGTGGTGATGGTACTCGATGGTGGTGATGGTACTCGACCAGTGTTGGGGTGGTGATGGTACTCGACCAGTGTTGGGGTGGTGGTATGACCAGTACTCGACCAGTGTTGGGGTGGTGATGGTACTCGACCAGTGTTGGGGTGGTGATGGTACTCGACCAGTGTTGGGGTGGTGATGGTACTCGACCAGTGTTGGGGTGGTGATGGTACTCGACCAGTGTTGGGGTGGTGATGGTACTCGACCAGTGTTGGGGTGGTGATGGTACTCGACCAGTGTTGGGGTGGTGATGGTACTCGACCAGTGTTGGGGTGGTGATGGTACTCGACCAGTGTTGGGGTGGTGATGGTACTCGACCAGTGTTGGGGTGGTGATGGTACTCGACCAGTGTTGGGGTGGTGATGGTACTCGACCAGTGTTGGGGTGGTGATGGTACAGTACCAGTGTTGGGGTGGTGATGGTACTCGACCAGTGTTGGGGTGGTGATGGTACTCGACCAGTGTTGGGGTGGTGATGGTACTCGACCAGTGTTGGGGTGGTGATGGTACTCGACCAGTGTTGGGGTGGTGATGGTACTCGACCAGTGTTGGGGTGGTGATGGTACTCGACCAGTGTTGGGGGTGGTGATGGTACTCGACCAGTGTTGGGGTGGTGATGGTACTCGACCAGTGTTGGGGTGGTGATGGTACTCGACCAGTGTTGGGGTGGTGATGGTACTCGACCAGTGTTGGGGTGGTGATGGTACTCGACCAGTGTTGGGGTGGTGATGGTACTCGACCAGTGTTGGGGTGGTGATGGTACTCGACCAGTGTTGATGGTACAGTACCAGTGGGGTGATGGTGACCAGTGTTGGGGTGGTGATGGTACTCGACCAGTGTTGGGGTGGTGATGGTACTCGACCAGTGTTGGGGTGGTGATGGTACTCGACCAGTGTTGGGGTGGTGATGGTACTCGACCAGTGTTGGGGTGGTGATGGTACTCGACCAGTGTTGGGGTGGTGATGGTACTCGACCAGTGTTGGGGTGGTGATGGTACTCGACCAGTGTTGGGGTGGTGATGGTACTCGACCAGTGTTGGGGTGGTGATGGTACTCGACCAGTGTTGGGGTGGTGGTATGGTTGGGGTGGTGATGGTACTCGACCAGTGTTGGGGTGGTGATGGTACTCGACCAGTGTTGGGGTGGTGATGGTACTCGACCAGTGTTGGGGTGGTGATGGTACTCGACCAGTGTTGGGGTGGTGGGTGATGTTGGGGTGGTGATGGTACTCGACCAGTGTTGGGGTGGTGATGGTACTCGACCAGTGTTGGGGTGGTGATGGTACTCGACCAGTGTTGGGGTGGTGATGGTACTCGACCAGTGTTGGGGTGGTGATGGTACTCGACCAGTGTTGGGGTGGTGATGGTACTCGACCAGTGTTGGGGTGGTGATGGTACTCGACCAGTGTTGGGGTGGTGATGGTACTCGACCAGTGTTGGGGTGGTGATGGTACTCGACCAGTGTTGGGGTGGTGATGGTACTCGACCAGTGTTGGGGTGGTGATGGTACTCGACCAGTGTTGGGGTGGTGATGGTACCGACCAG